AATTTATGTTGATTTCTTGATTGCTCTGAGGCATGAAAAGTTTTACATATGACAATGTAGGTCCTTAAATATAAGCGGAGAGGTATACATTTAGCAAGAAGTAGATCAAAGTACTGGTATCTCTTGTAAGACATATAAATATAAAGCTGTTAAAATTTTGTTATTTTGTCACTTATTGAAGAAAAAAATAACATAAAGATAAAAATGTTTAAATTCGCACTATTTACATTTTTTTGTGAAATTAAAAGCCATTATCCAGAAAACTTGTGGCATATTAAGAGATAAAAAATGTGTTAATGCATTTTATGCACTCTGAGCTCTCACCAGGTGCAATCATAGACAGGAACTTAGATTGGATACATAGTTTATGAGTTTAGCAGAATCCATAGGAAGTTGTAATAACTTTTATTACCATATAATATCACCACAGATAATCCATCATATCAGATATTAATAGGTTTTTTTTGAAGTTTTTGAGTGTTGATTTTGAAGAAATCTATAGTGAATCTTAATGAGATGATTTTATATGAAATCAGGTAAAACATTATAGACACAGATACAGTCAGTGCAGCCATGATTAGATAAACTTTTGGGATAAAAAAAAGTTCGTTTATTTGCAAGAAAACAAATTGTGCAATAATTGAAACTGAAAATGACATTCTTGGTTTTTTTTTGTGCTATTGGGTTGCTGTTTCATTTTATAACCATTCATTTAAAATGTTTAAAGGCTTTTTCGGTAAAGGCTAGGAAATAACAAATATCCAATCTCAAAATTAATCTGAAAAGTAGATAGTCTTTGATTTTTTCTTGCATTCCAAATGCTTTCATTACTTGAAAAAAAAAGGCACAGTATGTACTATTGTAAATTAAAAAAATGACGGAAACATGGTTTTATACCGATAATGAAGCTGAATGACATGATTTTTAAACACAACATGTAGCATCCTTTCATTAAAAGAAGTCAAAAGAAGTCTTGTCCTCAATTATCATGTACTAGATATCATATCTGACAGCTGCTAAAAATTGAATCAATGGGAGCTTTTAATGTATATCTCGTACACAATACTATACAGATATCTAATTCCAAAATAACTGTAATTTTTAATAAAAGATTCAAAAATTTTGTGTTTTCCAAAAAAAAAATATGAGAAGTGATGAAGCTCATTCCTAATTGCTGATAATTTATAATATTAAAGAAAAGTGAAATTGTTGGCATTACAGCCAGATGTATAGTTTATACTACACAGAAATACTATAACATCTTTGTAATTTATGGCACAGATGAAGCAACAGATTATATGTTCATCATCTTTACTACAAAAAGATAGCTAGCTGTTCAGACTACAGACATTCTGCAATTACATAGATATTATAAACTATCATAGTCACACTGGGGGTCAAGATAGGAAAGCATAGTGTTATAGGATGGTTGTGTTGTTGGTCTGTGTTGTATAGGTTACAGTGTCAGGATAGGAATGATAAAAGTGGTTAAATATAAGCATGCCATAATATGGTATTACATAGAATGCAAGAGCATACATTACAGCTCCAATGTAAGGATTGGTATGACAGTGTGTAGTATTAGGATGGTAACGTGTTATTGGTCTGCGTTGTAAAGGTTACAGTGTTAGGATGAGATATGATATATGCATGCCATGATTACAGCTTCAAAGGATACTGTAGGCCCAAGTTAGCCATGCTATTTTATATAGATTGTAAATACAAACTCATTGTTAGGATAGCATTGATATAGTTTGTCTGAAGATAGGAATCTTTAATAATGGCTGTAGTTTCAGTGTTGGGGGGGGGGGGGGGAGGGGATGGGATGGGTTGTGATGAAAGGTATCCAATACTTATACTTAGTATATAGTTCAGTGGGGGGAATATGATGAAAGTTATCCAATATTTATACTTAGAAGAGGCAGATTTGGTGGGAAGGGTTTCTGGGTCTCTCCTTATGGAGCTACTTAAACAGTTGATGCATAGATTTTTTTACAAGTCACACTTCCAACATTGCCCCCACCCCCCTTTCCCCCTTTCAGGCTGATAGAAATCCAATAATTGGGTCAAAGCTATTATATTCAGTTTTAGGGACAGTTTATCATACAATTGGGTCTATTTTAGAGTCCTTCATATATGGCGTACCTTTTAATGTCAGGTAGCTTTGATACAGTGTTAGTATGAGCAGTGGCACAGTCCATAAATCATTTGTTTGTCAAAAGTGGGAAAATTAAAGGGTACTGTACTAGTGTGGGAATACTTTTCAAGCCAGCATAGGTGGTTCAAGTGATTTTGTTATGGTTATAAAAAATATATGCAGATGAAGGGAATACAATGTACCACCCACCAAGATTTTGTCTCCCTACGTGGTGAGAAATCAATAACATTTTAAGCAATGATGCTTATCCCCCCTAACTTGTGAGTTTAAATGATGATATTAAAAAATTATTAGAAAAAAACATTCTAAGAAAACCCTAAACTACACCTCTGAATTGTAACAGTTAACCTAGTTCTTTATTCCCTGTGGTTAACTACTGGTATCATCTTTAGTATAAATATTCCAGTGATCAAAGCTAATCATTGGCACTGCCAATCAACAATTAGTAATTTATTTTTGTTTTTATTGTTGGGTATGTAACATATCAGTATTATATAATTATCTTTTACATCAAGTGCTTCCAATATAATTTACTCAATTAATTTAAATTGTGATTAATTTTGTAACTTTGCCCAGATTTAGCATCTTTGAGATGATTGAATAAATTGATGATATACTGTAACACTATTCATCTTAGACTTGCTTAATCAATGGAAACATAGGATCTCTTGCATCAAATAGACTTTCCTTAATTGTCTATCCAGTGGCTGGAGTTAGCATTCAAAGGATATCAGAGATAAATTAAGCCATAACTTGAATTATTCCTTAGTCGTCTATGTTCAGTTGTTAAGTTAATGAAGTTTATAGGAAGACCAGTTTACAACAGTCTCCTTACTAAGTATTGAATATTATGGGATGATTAATTAACTCATTCAGAAATCCTACTAACTTATTATGTCTTATTTACTACTGACCTGGGAGGTCGGATCAAGGCAGAGAATAAAATTGTTATATACTACTTGACCATTAAATTCAAGAACAAGACTGAGCAAACCCAAAAACATTTTGTTCAGATATCTTGAGTTTTTTTTTTTACAAAAGAATCACAATATAACTAAATCTTAGTCCAAATCCATATAAATCCCAAATGTTATTGTTTTAAGATAACAAAGGATCCATTTTAATACAGGGTAGATATTGGGGTATATATCAATGAGATAGTGACCCATCAACAAAAAACTCTTCTTGAGGTCAACATATAGTTTTCAGCAATTGACAGGTGCCAGTGTCTACATATAAGATATGTTGAGTTCTGAATGACCCTGAGTCTAAAAAGTTGGGAATAAATTGAAAAGAGCCTATCAAAGATCTGCCATGTGTATTCATATTAAGTTCCCTTGTAAGTTCAGAGTTTGTGGAGGGTACTTAAATGTTGAAAAATAGAAAAATAGATTAAAACATCTAAAGTTACTATGGATGGGGTGTAGATTTCTTGAGATTGATTATAATGTAAATTTTACATGCAATAGATGTCTAGATTAAGTACCAGATTAAAGAAAGATAGTGAAAATAAAACAAATGTAAAATATTGATGATTTGTATTCTGTTGGATAAGCAATGATAATTTTGTAGCCAGTATAGATAATATGACATGATTTCACATCAGAGTGTTAATTTCTTTCACTTTACAAGCATATTAGATGACAAAATTGTCCAAATTATCTGTTAACTGTTAGCTTTAATATGTTTTATGTCAAATAATATAACATTTTGAATTTGGTACTGATGTTATATCTAAGATCTTATTAAGGCTTACAATAGCATTCTGATAGAGGTAGTATTTTTAGGTTTTCTTGAGTGAGAAAGTGTCAATTCCAAAGGAAAAAATTCCAATGTTTGAGTCTGTCTGCAAAGTGTCAATTTTAGAAAAAAATTTAATTTGAGTCTGTCTGCTGTCAGACAAGATAATCTAATGCCAAGAATAAAACAAGGTAACATCAATCTAAATATTTTCTTTGGACTTTTCAAATTTGTTTATTTTCTTCTAAATGTTATGAATGAACATGTAACCTATATTCACTTGTCCTACATAGATATAATTTGGCCTCTCTTTAACAGAATACTTTACTTCATATAACATAACTTGGCCTCTGTAAACTTGCCATTCAGTCATTACAAGTATAAATACAGCCTAGTGGAAAATACAGAAAACAGTTGGCCTTCAATATTACGCACAGTAGAATAATGATAATATTTAAGTAGACGTTTAAATTAATACCTATGGTATAAAATTACGGCATATTTTACTATGCTATTAGATCAAATTATTTAAATAATAAAGAACAGACGCTATTTAAGGTATATTATTATCTGTGGTGGAATTAATTGTAACAGGATTGTGGACCAGTGAGTTGTATAAGAAGTTATATGGATGTAGATAATTATTAAAGGTTAGATGTTTTGAATAGTGGGTATTTTGAAAGGTAAATGTTCCATTGATCTTTATTATTGATTGGTAATATGTTAAAAAATAGCCTGTCTGACATGTACTTTCAATGTGTCCATGGAATGTGCACATGCTGGCTTTATTTGAAGTAGAAAGTTGCAAATAATAAAAAAAAAACTTAACGCTTTGTATCAAATTACCTTACCAATCCCCTTCCAAATATAATAAAACCACTTGTATAAAATCACCTCTACATAGGCCTTCCAAATATAAAAAAAAAAAATCAAATGTGACTTAGATGAAAATCCCATTGGTCTATTGTCTCTCTTGCAAGACTTTGGAGAGCTACTTGTTTCCAGTGCCAGCAACAACATTGTGAACAATTATTTGCTTAGTTGACAAGGTCACACAGGTTAAACATATCTCTTGTAAATGATAGTATTCTCCTAATTGTAGGTTCACCAGTATTTCAGTGGATTACCAGAAGATAAAGTACCTTATCTAAACAGTCTTGGTGAAAAGTACCGTGTGCGACAATTACTGCAGCAGTTACCTCCCCATGACAATGAAGTTCGATACTGTAATGTCCTTAGTGAGGAGGAAAAGAGGGAACTACGGATGTTTAGTTCTCAAAGAAAGAGGGAGGCCCTGGGGAGGGGAAGTGTACGACCATTACCGCTCACCATGCAGGGCAGTATATGTGCAAAGGTAAAACACTTAAAAATAATCTGTTAGAAGGATAATAGGTGAAAAAGTATTGATTGTGACCTTTAAGATATCAGTCATATCAAAAATGTTTATAGCCTTCATTAAAGAATAGATATGTAACAATTTTCATAAGGTTGTGTGATCATTTATTTTTAATGTCCGTGTTTAACATAATGATAACCTAATGCTTTAGGTCTGGGCTGGTTTAATAGTATAACAATATAATAATTCAGTCATGGTGTTTAGTAAATAACACTCAATCTTGAAAAATGTACTGATTTAAGATAAGGATGACTTTACTAAATGTGCTTTTCAGATTTATGGCCCTTATAATATACAAAGTTGCATATCATAAATGCATATTACCATTAAGTGCACTAGAAAATTGCAGCACAATAACTAGTTTTATAACTAAAGTAAATTACAGTCAAATGATAAATCTCTTTCAGAAAGGCTGTGGGTCATAGCTCAAAATAATGAGCTGCACAATTTTCAGATAGTTATCATTATGTGCAGTGGTCTTGCAATTCAGAGATTTTGTTCAAAGAGAGATAACTCAAAATTTTTACTTGATTTTTCTAAAGACATATATAATGCTAGTTGTGTTTTCATGATATAGCCATACTTTGGCTCATTATAAGAATTGCTTGTTGTAGTTTTAAATTCTCAGATGAAAAAAAAAGTTATATTTACAGGAACATCAAAGTTAACCATATTGCTTTTATGATTGGTATTTTCTTTTTTACATTAGACACAACAATCTGAAATAGAAAGAAATGTACAAAATCCAAATGTCAGTATTTGGAATAACAAATTACATGTATATTGCATGAAATATTACATTAATTTTACCAATTTTTCAGTGCCAAGAAATGATCCCAGGAGGTTGTATGGCAGTGTTTGCATCTCGTGCAGGACACGAGAAATGTTGGCATCCTAAATGTTTTACTTGTCTGAGTTGTGATGAATTATTGGTAGATTTAATCTATTTCTATAAAGATGGATTCCTGTATTGTGGCAGACATCATTCAGAACTGATCAAACCACGATGTGCAGCCTGTGATGAGGTAATTTGATAAACTGGTGACCCTTTTTATAGTCACCCTCAAAAGTTACATACATCATGTATATCAACAACAGAATATTTTTATGAAATATCTCTATAAGTAAAGTTACCAATTCTCCCCAAATAAATTTACTTTGTCTGTTGTTGTTTTGTTTACTTTGTCTGTGGTTGTTTTGTTTACTTTGTCTGAGGTTGTTTTGTTATGTCCTTTATGAAATTTGGTGTAAATGGCAGATCTTTGAAGGTCTCTATTATTTTTTCTTTCTTTGTGGTTATATAGAGCTTGACCTATTGTTTAGACACTGGTCAGTTGCTGATAAATGTGACCTCTAGATGTTGAATTTTGTTTTATCGTAGGGTTGCTGTCTCGCTTATGTTTACCCTGCATCTCTGTATTGATAACTGTGTATACCAAAAACAAAACAATCAAAAAAGCATGTCAGGTTCAGCTGGTACAACAGTAAGTGTAGACACCTGTACCATTTTGTATCATGAAATGGTTAAAACTTTTGGCAATAGTAAAAATACATTCCCTTGCCACTGACAGGCATCACATAAAAAGGTAAATGCTTGATAAAGTAGAGTATTATATCCAATTTACTGTAAAGAGCCATTTTTCTGGACTACAAAAACTTAGTGTACATGTATAATACATAGAAATGACTCTAATTTCAGATGAAATAAATAATGCACTTTAGTAGGTGTCAAATATTTCCCAATAAGATCAAAATACGACAATAGAAAAACCATATCCTATTTCATAAAAAGTACAAAGGATCAATTTGATAGAGACATTTAATAATATATTCCCTAAGTGACTATAACCATAATGAATTTAATCAGTCTATACACTGCTATTAGCCGATTGTAAATCAATAGCAGACCCATTATTATACATTAGATGTTGATGATGGAAAGTCCAAAGATCTCTAGACAAAAGTTCCATGAAGAAAATATCAAACAATTTTCCTAGTGTGAACTGTCTGGCTTTCTCTTTTATTATTCAGAAATCAAATGTTCTATCAATGCAGAAAAAGATAAAATACTGGTAGTATTATGTTTTATGAGTGGTATAATATGATTAAAAGCAAGACAGGAGACACATGAACACTCTTAAAATCCATTCCAACTCGGTTCAATTTCCTTTACATACTTTTATTTACATAATGTAGCTTTTATTATAAAAATATACTACGAACTTTTAATTGTCTGCATGTTATGTTCTAATTAAATTATAAGCAGCTTTTTAAATTATTACTTGAAAAGGCATGAAAGATTTAGATAGTAACATTTCTTATAAATGCAACAGAAACAGGTTAAACTTAAAGAGGGCTATGTATATTGTTTTATTTTGCCCTGATAGAGGTTTATATTTTGCCCTGATTGAGGTTTATATTTTGCCCTGATAGAGGTTTATATTTTTCAAATATTTTGGTAACACTACCAGTATTTACAAATCGATCAAGATGTTTTTTTCTTCATTTCATTCTGAATTTTGCTAATATAGTGATTTCTTTTTTTCAGATTATTTTTGCTGATGAATGTACTGAGGCGGAGGGAAGGAGTTGGCATATGAAACATTTCTGTTGTTTTGAATGTGATAAACAGTTAGGAGGACAGAGATATATTATGAAAAATGGACGACCATATTGCTGTGTATGTTTTGAACGAATGTTTGCTGAATATTGTGACACATGTGGTGATAATATAGGGGTTGATCATGGACAAATGACCCATGAAGGTCAACACTGGCATGCGACAGAACATTGTTTTAAATGTCATACGTGTCAGAAGTCGTTGCTAGGACAACCATTTTTACCAAAACATGGTGTAATATATTGTTCTGCATCCTGCAGTAGAGCAGGTTCCATGCAGACCCAAACACCTCGACGAGCAGAAGATTATTTATTACAAGATCAAAGTGATATAAGACTTGGTTCACCTATCAGTCATGCTTTACAAGATAACAGTGTGGCAAGCATACAGGAAGTTTTGCGACAACAATATTCATTGACGGACAGTCTCCCATCATCAGACCGTGACCAGGGCTATGCTACAAGTAGTAATAGTGAAGTATATGCCCCAGGAATATATGAACCAATATCTACGCAGATATCAATGATTAAAGATATGCATGATGATAGTTACAATTTTGAAGGATTTAAAGAATCATTACCAATACAGGAATCCAAAATGACAAATCGTCTTTCACAATTTTCTATGCCTGACTTGACAGTTGATCCTCCTATAATTCCTGCTATAGAAAGAAGACCTGCTTTTGATCCTAGAAATAGGAGTCGATCTGGCTCAGAAAAGAATTTGTCTGTGCATTTTCAAAATTATGAGGAATTAGGTGCTACCTATTATGATGTTCCTTATGTTCATAACAATAACCACCATGAATGCCATCGAAAAGTTCATAAAAGTGGGTCAAATAGTAATCAAGGTTCTTTCAGGTCACATCCTGAATTGAGAGATGTGAGAGAAAATTTTTCACTGCAGACTGCTGAAAATAATACTACACCTGTGAATGAAGAACAGAAAATGAACCCCATTACGCGTCCAAAAAATGTGCAATTTGAACCGAATCCTCAAGTATCTAGATATCCAAGAAGTAGAAGTTTTGAAGGAAAACCTCGAGGACATTATTATGATAGAAGTTTTCAACATGAAATGCCTCAAGGTTATGCTGAAGGTTATGATGATGACAGATGTAGTACATGTTCTAGTTCTAGTGACTCTGATGACTATCCTTATTACTATGAACCTCCTCGGCGTAGTAACGGGCCAAGAATTACTTATGTTGATGACATGGGCGTTGGACTGGGAGGTAATAATACCTACCAAACATTACCTCTTGGTAGAGGAAGACATAAAAATAAAAATAAACAATGTGTGATATCTTAGATAATTAAATAAACATATATAGTCAATAATTATGACCTAATATAAACTTCATGTGCTTTGTTGTGAATATAAAATATTTAGGATGTCAATAAGTGTACCACATATGAGAAGTTTAATGTACATGTACAACTTTACTTGATTGACTTACAATTGAAAACCAGATTTTCAGTGATGTTCCAATTTTGCAAAAACTCAGTTTAAATCAATGTTAGTTGAATCCACAATCAAATTTTAAGTTAGTGTTCATTGTACTGTACATTTCTTAGTTTATTTCAGAAAAAAAAATACTTAAATATTTATACACTAAGCATTAAAATTTATAAAACAATTTACCACATTTGCCATAGATATTATACTGATTGTTCAAAAATGTTGTTTTCTTAAGATATTTTATGTCCAGATTTGTGCCAAAATGTTTTTTATCTACATTTAGTCATTATAGTATTAAAGATGATGAATTTCAGCACTTTCTAATAGTGTAATCCCATAACACATTTTCATTTACACATGTATACACTGTATATGCATTGAAATTAGACCTCTATATATGAATCATTTTAATATATAATAATACAGGGTAGATTAAATTAATTAAAATCTAGTCATTTATTTACTGAGATACTCTATATATAGCAGATGCTGGATTTAGTTCCCTTCATAACTAATGTCACACATAATTATGCACCAGCTCCAGAATATCATCCATTAATAATGCACATTGCTTTCATGAATTAAATTTAGAGACTGGTAGTTTTCTGTTTTCGAGAGGGGGGCATATGTAATAAAAATGTTTGAAAATATTATACATTAAATAGAGTTTTTTTCAGGGTTTAAAGTGTCTTTGATACTTAATTGCTCTGTTTTCCAACTATTCCACTTTTAAAACACTTTGCAAAAAAATTTACTGGTCTCAATTTTTAACATGCCTAGGTCATTAAATAAAAGTCCTGGATATTTAAGAAGACAGGTACAAATATTGAGTTTGTGATCTTTGAAATTTTGTTCATTTTCAACTGTTTTTTTTTTTAATCTGCAATAGGGTTTTCAAAATGTGATAGAAGTGAACTCATCATGCTAATTAGTCATTCTGTAGTCTTTTTTGTTTACATGTTGCCCTACCTTACAGTAAGCTGTCTGTATGTTAAATTCTGGTTGTCTCCCTTTGCATTACCCCATAAATGTGTGTATATCAGCAATACTGACAAATGTTTCATAAAAGTTGTGTCTCACAGTACTTTTTATCAGGGTTATTGTTGTTAATACAAACATTCTGATGTCACCTGTTTAGAACAAAAACATTTTGATGTCACCAGTTTAGAACACACACATTTTGATGTCACATGATCATTACTGTGAACACAAATATTTTTATGTCACATGGTTGTTACTGTGAACACAAACTTTTTGATGTCGACTTTTTATTGCTGTGACATCACTCATTCATACAGATTTTAGTGAATTATTTGTATATAGTTTGAACCTGTATATAATGTTTTATGTACATTTTTGTTACTATAAGTATAGTGCTGACAATATATTGAAAATTTTATTTACCTGTGATTTTACATAGTGAAAATAATGTTATGTTGTATAATGGAAAGGTTTAGAAAGCTGATAAATATCATCTTTAAACCTAATGTATTTGTATGACAGTTTACAAAATAATTAAACATTCATGCAGTCTAGGCCAGTAAGTATTTATTAACAATTATCCCATATAGCAGAAATAGCTGTAGGTAAATGTATTGGTGCCTATTGGAAAAAACTTCTTGTTTTTTCAAAACCAATTCAAACATTTCTGTTATAAAATGTGTAAACAAAATGAATAGCCAGTATATTTGTGTGAAGCTAATCATTTTAACCAAGTATCAAAATTTATTTTATTATACATGCTGAATTTTAGTTTCTTGGGATCCATAGTTAAAAAAGTCAAATGATTTTTAATTTTGATAGGAGACATTTACCTTTGAAGTGGTCATTTGCTTTCAGTTATAATATTCGTTTCAAGGTATGGAATGTTTTATTTAAAAGAATCTCATTGATTTGTTTTCTTTAGAAGGATCTGAAATGTTATCCTTGTGTACAATCTTAGTGTTGGTTCCTATAATTTACACTTTATACCACTAACAAAAAAATGAATGACAAACTTTCCCTATAGGAAAATCTTTAGAATACCAAACTTATATTACAAATATCTGAGAGCTCAATACATGGTTTTTTCCTCTGTATAATTCACAATGTATATATCAGCATACATGTATGTGTACTGAAGTAAGCTTCATTTACATTGCCTCAATTAAAATAATTGCTTTTGTCATTAGAGGAAAATAGATCACAAAATCAGCTCACATTTTTTGGTTACAGTTATAAAGATGAGTATTGATAGTCAGTAGTGTATAACAGTTTTATTGAATTATAATTTCCTGTAAACAAGGAACACAAAATTGTTTGTGTAATTTCTCCTTGTTACTAAAGAGAAGGATGAGAATTTAGGTATCAATTTTTTTATAGCCTAAATGTAACATGAGGACATGTAATACAACAATTCAGACATTACTTTTTATTAATATTTAGTAAATTAGAGGGAAAACACTAGATATTCGGTTGTTAAAAACATGAGCAACAATTATAGTATTTGAGAATTTTATTTCATATCCATCTTGTTCTCAGATACTCCAGTGGTTTGCAGTATGAAAGACTTTTTATGGATTTTTTTTTTTTTGAAGAAATAAATTTAATCCTGTTTTCATTGAAATAAGTATCTATGAACATGGATGTTCTCTACTTTTTTACTTCAGGTTTTAGCTTCAAATAATATACACAAGCAGTCAATTTTAAAACATTGTTTACCAGGTTTTAGTAAAATCCTTTCAAATTTTGTTCGTTTCAACTTGGGAAAATATCAATTTTGATATCAAATCACATTTGCCAAAAATATGAATTTGAATAGTATTTATGATGTTGTAATAGTTTATTGTCAGTAGAAGAAATTTTCAGTGGAAAAGTCTACTAATGTTGTACTTTTGAACAATCAAAACATTTTTTTTACACAAAAGAAATTTTGTTTTTGAAGTGAATATTTGTTATAAATTCACCTGTATTGTGTTCAAACTCTTATTGCTGCTTTTGTGCCTTTGTAAAACAGTTATGCAACATTTGTTTTGAGTAGGCATATGTAAATAAATATATCTTGATACATGAACATTAAAAAATCAACTGTTAATATTGTTTATAGTTGTAACTTAGCATTTTAAGGTAAATTGCTCTATATCTATTAAACAAATATAAAAAAGAAGATGTGGTATGATTGCCAATGAGACAACTCTCCACAAGAGACCAAATGGCACAGAAATTAACAACTATAGGTCACCGTACGGCCTTCAACAATGAGCAAAGCCCATACCGCACATTCAGCTATACAAGGCCCCGAAATGAAAATGTAAAACAATTCAAACAAGAAAACGAACGGCCTAATTTATGTACAAAAAATGAACGAAAAACAAATATGTAACACATAAACAAACGACAACCACTGAATTACAGGCTCCTGACTTGGGACAGGCACATACATACAGAATGTGGCGGGGTTAAACATGTTAGCAGGATCCCAACCCTCCCCTAACCTGGGACAGTGGTATAACAGTACAACATAAGAACGAACTTTAAAAGCACAACATAAGAACGAACTTTTAAAACAAACTTTAAAATTACTGATACTACATTAGTAAAGAAAAAAGACAATGGAAAACTATATACAATGAGAGACTATATAAAGTAAGATTAAAAATAGACACTATATAAAGCAAGATTGTAAAATCATGACGACTTTTATTGCATTGCACAACACCAGAAAAAGCTATACAAAGAGAGAACCTAGTTAAAGGAGGCCTCAAGTTTCTTCCAATATCAGGAAGCTCGACAGTTGTCTTAATTTTTTTGGTCATTTTTGAAATTTGGTGTGTAAGGCAGATCTTACATTGCTCATGTGCATCATCTTCATACAAATAGAGTCTCGCTGGTCATGTTATAACTTTATACCTTGGCATCGAAAATAATAAAGAATGAATAATATAGCTGAACAATAATATAGCTGGGTCATCTAGATGTTCGACTTAACATCTTTGTAAAGTTTTTACCACAATTCTTTCGACAGTAAAAGATTGCATTCAGATTTATTTTGATGAGGTTAATTCAACCAGCGGTGTCAATCAGATGTGGAATCTTAAAAAATTGAAAGATCTACTCCAAAATCTTCAATCACAATCGTTTCAATTTTGCAGTAAAATCAAAATCTTTGATTTTTCTATGCTTTACACTAATATTTCCCCATGCTGCATTGAAAGATCATCTACATTGTCTCATTAAACAGCTTTTTCTACAAAAATTGGATACATATATGCAAATTCCTTGTTTTAGGTCATGAAAAATATAACTTAGTGAAGAAAAACACTGATTCCCACAACAAATACACATAATATGATATCATCAAAATTTTAGACTTTTTTATCGACTACATACTTGTTGTGTTTGGTGGATTGACTTAATTTCAGCAGACTTGATATTCCAATCAGTACTTATAATTAACTACTACTTGTTTTTATACGACCGCAAAAAGTTTTTGCAGTCGTATATTGGTATGACGTTGGCGTCTTCATCGTCCGAAGACACATTGGTTTTCGCACAATAACTTTAGTTTAAGTGAATGGATCTCTATGAAATTTTACCATAAGGTTCAATACCACAAAAGGAAAGTTGGGGTTGATTTTGGGGGTTATGGTACCAACAGTTAAGGAATTAGGGGCAAAAAAAAAGCATTTTTGTAACTTCCAGACAATAACTTGTGTGTTAGTGTATGGATCTCTCTGACATTGTACCACAAGGTTCCATATCACAAAGGGAATGCTGGGATTGATTTTGGGGGTAATTGCCTCAAAATTTTAGGAATTAGGGGCCAAAAAAGGGGCAAAAACAAGCATTTTTCTAGTTTCAGGCCAATAACTTGTGTGTAAGTGTGTGGATCTTTCTGAAATTGTACTACAAGGTTCCATATCACAAAGGGAAAGCAAAAATTGAGTATGGGGGTAATTGCCCAAAACATTTAGGAATTAGGGACCAAAAAGGGCCCAAAAATAAGCATTTTTCTAGTTACCAGACAATAACTTGTGTGTAAGTGTATGGATCTTTCTGAAATTGTACTGCAAGGTTCCATATCACAAAGGGAAGGCTGTGATTGATTTCGGGGTTAATTGCCACAAAATTTTAGGAATTAGGGGCCAAAAAAGGGGCAAAAAACAAGCATTTTTCTAGTTTCATGACAATAACTTGTGTGTAAGTGTATGGATCTTTCTGAAATTGTACTACAAGGTTCCATATTTTTTTTTCCTTTTTTCCCTTTTTTTTTTCTTTAAAATTTTCCATTTTAAGTTGGTTATTTTTGTTTATATATAAAAGCAAATAATAATGATATGATTTGATTTCATCAAAAATTGAAATATTGGGGTTCTTTAATGAGGGGCCTGATGGGTTATTTTCGTTCTTCGTGATCGGCGCATTTTCGCTATCGTGATCCGTTTTTCTACAGATTTATTTTATTTTGATATTTTCGTGATCCGTGATCATGGAAATTTATTTTCTGTGAATCGTGATTGACAAAAAAATCAACACGTGAATCGTGATGAGACCCCCCCATCAGGCCCCTCTTTAATATGCTGAATCTAACCGTGTATTTAGATTCTTAATTTTTGGTCCCGTTTTCAAATAGGTCTACATTAAGGTCCAATGAATCCAAAATTAAACTTAGTTTGAGTTAACAAAAATTGAATTCTTGCGGTTCTTTGATACGCTGAATCTAACCGTGTATGTATTTAGATTTTGGATATTGGACCATAATACACCTTATCGCTAATCCCACTTGACCCGAGAATCAGTCCCACTCGAACTTTTGACGTCATACAACAATCACTTTTCCATTGTGGCGTCAAATGTTTTCTATTATGACGTCAAAATTTTACGGGAACTTGTGTGATGTCCAGTAATGGCGGACAATTAGCGATAAGGTGTATAATTTTTAAGTTCTTAGACCACATTCATTCTGTGTCAGAAACCTATGCTGTGTCAAATATTTAATCACAATCCAAATTCAGAGCTGTATCGAGCTTAAATGTTGTGTCCATACTTGCCCCAACTGTTCAGGGTTCGACCTCTGCGGTCGTATCAAGCTGCGCCCAGCCGAGCATTTTATTGTATTCATGAAGCAGAACTCATTAAGAATCTTCTCAAAAACCAAAAGAAAAAAACTATTTGCAAAATTCTTAAATTTCACTTTCAGATATATTTCACCCAAAAACCCACATTTCAATCGGTGCTTTCATCTCATATGTCATTGTGAACTTGTGATTAAGGGGAAGTAGGACAAATCGCCCCACATGCAAATCGCCCCACACTAAACCGCCCCACTTTTTCACCAACTCGCCCCAAACTGGTTTACCAACTCGCCCCACTTTTAGAAAAATCGCCTCACTTGTGAAAAGGGTTAAATCCCGTTAATTTTTCTCCTGCCAACTCGCCCCACTTAATGAAATAATGTAAACCTAGATGAATATATAATTTCAGGTCTGCCAACTCGCCTCACTTAACTAAAAAAATCTTATACACAGAATACAAAAAACGAAAATTGACTAAATCATTATTATTGACATTGAGTTGGCATGACTCAACTTGATTCATCAGGTATTTTCTATTTTTCATAAGTGGGTCGAGTTGGCATTAATCAATTTATCAGGATTTTTCACTGGTTGGGCTAGTTGACATTACTCAATTCATCAGGATTTTTCTATTTTTCACTGGTTGGGCTAGTTGGCATTCACATCACAGAAAATACTGATACTCATTTCTTTATGCTTTATTTCAACAAAAAGAAAATAACTACAAGATAGATATAAGAAGATGTGGTATGAGTGCCAATGAGACAACTCTCCATCCAAGTCACAATTTGTAAAAGAAAAACCATTATGTATAATAGGTCAAAGTACTGTCTTCAACAAGGAGCCTAGCTTGGCTCACATCGAACAGGAACTTCTATAAAGGGCTCCAAAAATAACTAGTGTAAAACCATTCAAACGGGAAAAACATGTGTATCTAAGGTTTTAATAGGTATTGATTTTACTTATAAGTGGGGAAGGAACATAGATATACAACGGGATTGCATCTTTTTTCATAAGTGGAGCGAGTTGGCATTACTAAATTCATCAGGATTTATCTATTTTTCACAAGGGGGGCGAGTTGGCAGACCTTATATCAGAGGGATTTTTTTCCCTTTTCATAAATGGAGCAATATATCCAACCTATTTTCAATGGGATTTTATCCTTTTCATAAGTAGGGCGAGTTGGTAAACAAAAGTGGGGCGATTTTTAAGAAAGTGGGGCGAGTTGGTGAAAAAGTGGGGCGATTATGTGTGGGGCGATTTGCCAGTGGGGCGATATGTCATGGATTCCTAGAATTTAGGACAAACGTGATGATTTCAACTGTCCAATTGTCAACTTCCCATTTCTCAGTAGTAACATACCCTCTGGTTCATCGTATGTGCTTACATATCTCAGTTAATACGTTACGCTCGTGCATGTTCACACTTTACAGGTTTCATTAACAGTGGTATGCTCCTTACACAAAACTGCTCCAACAGAGTTATGAGGAAGAACAAATAAAACCGTCAATACAAC